TCTCCTCTTTCTGCCTCCCCACCCCACCCCCACCCCCGCCCACTCCCGCGTGCACACGTGTGCACACGTTCTCACTCTCTCTCAAACCTTTAAAAAAAAAAAGGCATCTGTGCCTATGGACTACATTTCCTAGAAACTTGACTTTCCTTTACTGAGGCTCCTCAAACTGAATACAAATTTGGCTTCCAGCCTGGCCAAAATCTCCATACCTATCCCACTTCCCTCATAAACTATTCAGTATCTGAAGTGGCAAGTTGGACAGCATTTGTCAAAATGTATTTTTATAGAGCTGCACCACCTCATTCCCCTTCTTTGGCAGTCCTGGAGGATGACACTGTTTGGCCAGTGTCATTGCAGGCCGAGGGCTAGATTTTCATCTGTCGGGCACCTGCTGCCACAGTGACCACCGGGCTGGCTTTCCGGTGCTTCCATAAATCTTCTTTGTCTCCCGTTCCAACCTGGGAGATACTGAAAAATTACCAAATAAAGCTGAAGTGGTGCACCCATTAGGTGTTTTCTTGAGCTGCTCCATGTTTTGGCTGTGAAGATGGACTTCAAGGTGGAACTGCTGCCATTTTGGTGCTCCAGAATTAGACCCACAGAAATGCTGTTTTTCCTGGGGTGACACCAGCTCCAAAAGCCTAGGTGGATGGTGGCAAATGGTTGTAGCTAGTGATGGATTGGGTGTCGCGGAGATCCCTCTGGTAGCAAAGCAGAGATGGTGGCAGGCAGGCATTTCTTTGCTCTCTCCTCAGGGGTGGAAACATTCAGTCTGAAGCCCACACCTGTTCTCTGAACTCCACATGAGGTTTCCCTGTCAGATCGAGTGAACATTGATTCATTTCCTTTTCTGTCCTAAATGTTCCATATTTAGTCCCCAACTTGTCCTGGGGATTGCAGGTTCAGCTTAAATTATCTTTATGTTTAAAGAGTAAGGAAAATTGGTTTTTCACTTTAATTTTGTGTTTCAGGCAGTCGTCTTCCAAACATCTTTCGTTTTAGCTAGGAAAGCAGTGGATAACCTTCATGGATTGGTGGATGTGAGAGTTTCATGCTACTGGCTTGTTTTCCTTCTGTGTCCTATTTGGTATTAGGGTCCTATTCCTTTCCTCTGTGCCAAAAAGATAAAAACACTGCTGAGAAATCCACATTTGTCACAGTGGAGTTAAGTTGTGGGAGGACAGCAGTAGGAACTTGTATGTTTTATTCCCAGATTAAAGTTGATTGGGGTTGTTAGGTTTTGTGTAGAGTTTTTTGGAGGCGTTGCCCTTTCTTAGAACATCATGTGATTTAGTGGTGATAATTAGGCAGAAACTTGTCTTCCCTACAGATGCCAAGATTATAGAGGGACTTACTCTCACCAGAGACCAGATGACAGCATCCATAGATATTTTTAGAATAGGTCTCATCATTTGGCTTCCCCATTTCATTTTCCTTGTATCAACAGTCTGATTTCAAACTTATTTATTGGGCACAGGGGGGGAAGAGAGGGGACCTTCTCCCCATTAATGAAAGTCACTGATGGGACAGGACATTTTTTTTTTTTAGGACATTTTCATATTTATTGTTAGTTGGCCTATTGCCTAGTAACTGCAGAGTGATAGCTGTAATTCCCTTCAGCTGTCTGCTTCCTTTTCCTTCCAAATGTTTTGCTTAAATCTGATGTGTTTTTAAACTTAGAATCAGCATCAGCATACTTAAACATCTTACTTTAAACAATGTTAAGAATGGGGGAGCTTCACTGAAACCCACCACACCTGTACCCAACCTAAGTATCATTAAATTCCCAGCTCAGTAGCTGGTGTCATCATTTAAAGTGCTCCCTCTATTCTTTCCGTCATTGATGGAGTCAGATAAACATGTGCAAACAGTCACCAAAGAACGGCTAAAAATCTAAGGCAGATAAGGAGCTGTGTTCTTTGTGACTCTTTTTAATCATAAGGTCTTCCTAGTGAATGGTGATTCTGGTGTTTCTTTTAGAAAGAATGCTTGTATTTCTCTTCAACATTTATCTGATTTCTTTTTATTTTTACAATATGTTATAATCTCTGCTTTCTATCACAGAGAAAACAGGTCACCTTTCTGTCCTGTGGAGTGGGATTTCCTTATTACATTTGTCCTTGTCAGAGCTGCCTTGGAACCTGGGCCTCTCCTTTCCTGGCTCCCTTCTAAGCACACGAGGTTTCCCTTGCAGGCCGAGAGGTATGGCCTGGGAGACCCCCAGGGAGTGCTAGGACTTAGTGCCACAGGGGGCCCCAGGCCCATTCTGCAGAAATGGAAGGAGTCCTGATCAGTGCATCTCCTTTTGAAAGATGATGTTCCCTGAAGATTCTGGGCCTTCTGATGAGGGAATGTTTATTTGGCCTGGGGATTGTTGTTGGCTCAGTGTGGGCCTCCTGCCCCTGGTTTCAGGGCCGATGCCCTGTTCTGCTTAGAATGATGCCATGTGGGGGGTTATAGGTGCCCTCTGCCTCCTTTCCTCCTATGCTGACCCAGCTCCAGCATTAGAACAGGCTGCATGCTCTGCCTCTGTACTTGGGGAATGAAGTGTGTCACCTTCCCAGTATGCACTGGTTTCCATGGCTGAATAATTAATACCGGAGGGAGGGAACCAGGATGGGGTCTGAATTAGGTAATGCTTTACAGCTTCTTTCTTGGCACCTGGGGAGCACAGTCCCTGATGACTAATTGCATAGTGATGTTAGAATGTGGTTTATTAAGTGTTACTGGGAAAGAAAAAACTGAATACCCTTCCAAAGAACCATGTCTGCACCCTTATCCATTCACTCCTCGGGGGTCCCAGGTAGAGTAGCTAGAATAGCACTGGCTGGCTCTAGGAGGCTAAATTCTTCACGGACCCTTAGATCTGGTATCTTTTTTTTTTTTTTTTTTTAAGTAATCTCTACACCCAATGTGGGGCTTGAACTCACAACCCCGAGATCAAGGGTCACATGCTCCACTGACTGAGCCAGCCAGGTTGCCCCGCTGAGCAAGGAGCCTGATGCAGGACTCGATCCCAGGACCCTGAGATCATGACCCGAGCCGAAGGCAGGTGCTCAACCAACTCAGCCACCCAGGCATCCCTGTTTTAGCTTTTTCTTGCTCTGAAGCCAACAAGTCCAGGAGAATATTGTCTAGTACCTTTACAAAGCAAAAAAAATCCAGCCAGGGAAATTAAATACCGGGGATGGGTGGGAGACAAGGGGCCTTTTTTCTTTCTTTATTGTTGCTGCCTCTGATAAAACCCCAAAGTGCTTCTGTTTGGAGCTGTAGCAAGGGTAATTGTGACCATGGTTATGTATCATTACCAATACTAAGCCCTGCTGTCTTTCTGAATATTGGTAGTGAAAGGTTAAGATTGCCGGCCAGCCCAGCCACAGAAGAGATTGAAGTTGTAAGTACATTTGTGAAAATTCCAAATGAACCTATGATAATATCTGGTCTAAAGAGTGGGAAGCAGATGTGTAACGTGTATGTGAGCTTACTGGTGCACACTTCATGACTTGCTTACCTTCTCTGTTGAGATGGTGAGTTCAGCTTGCTTCCCTCCTACTTCTCTATCCATTTCTTGGCCTAGAGCCATTTTTTCCCTACCATGACAGCTGACACTGTCTCCATAAACCAAAGGTCTTACGTCCTGAGGTCTGTTTTGTTAATTCCTTTATTATTTTTTTTAAGATTTTACTTATTTGACAGAGAGAGACATAGCGAGAGAGGGAACACAAGCAGGGAGAGTGGGAGAGGGAGAAGCAGGCTTCCCGCCGAGCAGGAAGCCCGATGTGGGGCTCGATCCCAGGACCCTGGGGTCATGACCTGAGCCAAAGGCAGGCGCTTAACGACTGAGCCACCCAGGCGCCCCTGTTTTGTTAATTCCTTTAGCTACATCTCTGTGAGTATACTTTTTTTAGTCCTTTAACCTTTCTGGGCTCAGAGGTCTCACGAAGTCTGCTAGACATGTAAATTCAGATGGTGTGAGAGAACTTCTTTTGTGCCTCACCATTGAAGACTGTTGAAGGCAAAATAATAATAAATTGTTAACTGTTAAAGGGATGTTTTGTGGGAGGGTTTTTTGGCCATATGTGTGTGTTAGATAATTTTTTTTCTCTGCAGACTTTTAATATAAAAAAAAAATTCCCACACAGCCCATTTAGAGATAACTTACTCCTTTAATAAACGAGGGAAGTCAAGATGATCTCCATCCAGCAGTGCAGACTGAGTAAGCCTTTGTGGAAAATGGCCATTTCAACTCCCCTGGTATTGGTGGTAAACAAGGTCGGTTAGTCCATATAGCCAGTGGGAGAGAACCAGAAAGGCACAGGCTGGTCTGCTTAGAGTGACCAACTTTTCTCGTTTTAGCTTGAAAGTTCCATGTCCCAGGATACCCCTCAATCCAGAAGTCTAGAGCAAAATCCCATCTGCACCCTGACTTACTTAACTTACTTAACTTAAAAGGGCCGACTAATGGGGCACCTGGGTGGCTCAGTCAGTCAAGCGTCTGACTCTTGGTTTTGGCTCAGGACCTGATCTCAGAGTCATGAGATTGAGGCCTGCACTGGGCTCTGCACTCAGCAGGGAGCCGGCTTCTTTTCTTCTCCTCCTGCCCCTCTCACCCATCACGTGTGCGTGCACACGCACTCTCAAATCAATCAATCAATCAGTCAATCTTAGAGATATTAAAAAAAAAGAAAGGGCCTACTAAAACACCCCTAACTTGCCTTTCTTTGTTAACCTCCCAAGATGAATGACCTCATTTCCTCTAGGCTTTTTCAACTTGAGAGCATCTTGTAATCAAGCACAGAGATAGGGTAAGTAGTCTCCATGCTTTGTCTTTAGGTTTTCAGACCTTTGAAGCTAGTGTAGCAAAACAGCTTTCCTGTGAGCACCCTTAGTTCAGAGGTGAGGTGAGGAGACAGGAGGCTGGTGAAGCATGACCCGGAGGTGCCTACAATTGCTTTTTGAATGTCCTTAATCATCTCTGGTTTTCTTTTCTCCTCCTGCAGACCCTCAAACTGACACAAGACCTACAGAGAAACCCTTTGCCAAATCTGCTCTCAGCAAGTGGACAGTGATACCGTTTACAGCTTAACACCTTTGTGAATCCCGCACCATTTTCCTAACCCAGCAGAGACTGTTAAAGGCCCCTTACCCCAGGTGAAGCACTTACCCTTGGAACAGAACTCTCTATATAAAGTATGCAAAATCTTCCTTGTACAGGGTGATGAGCCACCTGCCAGCGAAGGACAGCACCCTGTCAGCACCACCCACCCTCGTTCAGAGCACACCGTGAGCTCCTGTTGGCGATTCTGTGGCGTATTCATATCACGATGGTTTATGGGATGTTTTAAGTGTTGTTTTTGTGTTTGTTTTCCTTTGACTTTCTGAGTTTTTCACATGCATTAACTTGCAGTATTTTTATGTTAAAATGTTAATCATCCTTCCCCTGGCAAATTTAAAAACAGAAGGAAAATGTTGTACCAGTTACTATTCTAGCTTTGGGCATCACAAGCATTTGAGCCCTTGGAACTCCATAAACTAACAAATTACATAAACCAGAGGGGGATATTCTTTCTTCTTTTGTTTGGTAGAAAACTATGCTTTTCTAAAAACTGAACAATGGCACAACTGTTTGCCATGCGCACCAGTCCAGGACTGACCCCTGTATAGGCCCAACGAATGGAGTGCTGCATGCGACCCAGTGTGTTTTCGTTCTGAGTGAGGGGTCTGGGGGGGCGGGGAGAGACCCCCAGCACCTGGTCTGCAGTTGCCAGAGCAGTCGGGCCTCTGGTCTCCTGGCATTATCCTCAGCTAATGCAGTGAACAGTGATGGTATGCTGGTTAGAAATTAGGATCTTTTCAAGAAAGAAGTCAGCTCAGCTGCCCACTCATTGCCAAATGCCACTAAAGGATTTAGTTTTAAGGAGAAAAGAAAAAGAAAAGTAGTCCTGTTTTGCTTTGCAGAAGAAATGAACTTACAGGTTAGCATTAAGCCTATAGTGAGAAATGTGTGAAAAGTACAAACCAGAGTCACTATTTTCCTAAAATACCCTTGATTATTTTCAGCCTCGTTGTGTATGATCGGATCTACTAGACATGTATGAGTGAGAGGCAATAGCATACAAACTGATTTTTATATATATACACACACACACAATCTAATATATATATATAAAAGCTTAGATTGTAATTGTACAAGTGACACAATGGAAGTACAAGATAGGGCAGTTTTGACATTTTTTTTCCCTCCACCTTTCTGCTTCTGTGGATTTCATTTTGTTTTGTTTTCAAAAAGTTATGGTGCTGTATAGGTGCTTTCTGTTTAACCTGGAAAGTGGGATTATATTAGTTACCCTCTTTGGTAGGCAGAATAGTTGGGAACACCTTAGGTATATATGAAAAACTGGTGTAATGAAGCTCTGATTAGCACAGCATATGCATACTTCTCCAAAGTGATACAAGAAGACTCTTTTCTTTGCATAAAAAGCATTAGGTATATAAATGTATAAATAAATTTTATCATGTACAGTACAAAAATGGAACATTCTGCATGGACGTTAGGAATACAGGCTAGTATTTCAGCACAGACTTCCCTGCATGAGTTCTCGCTGACGCTTGCACCGTGCAGTGGGCACTGACTCCCTCCCACCAACACAGACGTGCCACCCGACCCCTGCACCTACCACCGGCCGCCAGGGGCCCCCTTGTGCACCTTCACTTCATAATTCCTCTGGGGGTGATAATGGTGGTGATAACAGCTCCTAGCATAATGAAAGTTCCATTTGGTATTGTCACACATCTCTCCCGCCTCGCTTGGGTTGTCATGTTTGAGTGATGGCCCTGTTGATTTCACCCTGCCTTTTACTGACTCTGTAAATTGTTGTGCAGTTGTGGTTATAGTAGGCCTGTAGCGTATCGCCTTTTCTAAACTGCTACACGTTTATAATCTTCATTTTAAAAGTATGTATAATTTTTAAAAATATGTATTCTATTCACATGGTCTGCTTGTCAGTGAGACAGACTTTTGCTTACTGTATTCCTTTATAATAATGCTAGCCACTTCCTTGACTCTTTGGTAGTCTGCTGCACGCAAAAACTGTCCAGTATCATTGAAAGGAGGCTGCCTGTCTGGGTTCCTAGGTGATGCTGCCCTGGTGGGGGTGCCGATGGGACACAGCTGCAGCAGCCGCAGGGAGGGAAAGGTCAAGGGAGGTCAGATACAAGGAGAATCAGGAGTGCTTACAGCATGAGGGCCCTGAGGATTTCTCTCCCGAATTCAAAGAAACAGCAAACTAACAAAATAGCTAATTTGCCTTTGCAGTTTTATAGACCCTGGGAGCTACTTTGGGAGTAAGAAAAGCAACTCTCAAATATGTTTCAACTTTAAAATGTTGACTTCCTTTCAGACATGTGGCATCTCATTTATTCTCCTTTTTTCTCAGTGTTTGTTAGATTTCAGGCAGAATGTCTTACAAGATGTCCTAGAACCAGATTATAATTTAATCAAAAACAGCTGAGGGAGGGACAGAGGAGGCCTGAGAGCAGGGCAGCCACAGAACACATCAGGAAAATGGAGGGGGAGGGGTGCTTTGAATTTGTTGGGTTTTTGTTTTTTAATAATGCAAATAGCGTCTACTTGTAGAGCATTGTGGAGAGCTGAGGTCAGGACAAAGTCGAGTGCCAGCGTCAGTTTCGGGAGGGAGTTGGAATAGTTAGGCCCATCCAGGATCACAGCAGCGCCACCCTCAGCCTTGGCCGCTGCCAGCTGACTGTCCACCCAGAGGCCCGACTCCCCCGCACTCGCCAGGTTCTGTGGTGGCCAGTCAGGGCAGAGGTGCAGCCTAAGACCTCCGCCTCTTACACTGAGACTCTGCTTTCAGGAAGGGCCAACTGTTGGCTGCCGTGTGGAGTTCTCATTGTCATGGGTCCCTCACAGTAAGTTTTCCGATCTGGAGCACCTCGGTGGAATACTTCGCCTCCAGGGGCCTGGCAGCTATAATGTTTGCATCCTGATGAGAACTATTCCAGGTTATCTTCAGCCTCTAAATAAGCTGCTCTAGGGAGCCTTCCACTTTTTGATGGGAAATTAGAAAAGTAACTAATGTTGAAAACATGACATGCGCTCTTGGGTTCTGTTGTTCTCTCTTCAGGCTCCAGCACCAGATACCTTGTACCAAAGTTAGATAAGAGCTTTATCATCAGCCTTCTCTGTCCTGGTGTGAGAGCTGCCTGCCAGGTTCAGCTCACCCATTAACTGTGAATGAAGCTGAGCTCGATCTCCTTTATTGCATCCTCTGCAATAGGATGATTGCTGAAACAGATTTTTTAAAAAAATTTCAGAAGTTTGTCTTTCCTGTTAACGGGAGGATTGTGCAAGTGGACAGTGATACCGTAACACACACGTGTGATACAAGGTGGGCTGTGTGTGTGTGTGTGTGTGTGTGTTTGGTGTTGAGTTCGGGTGTTCTGTGTGTGGCACTTGAGCACCCTGAAGGGAGGACCTCACGACTCACAGCTCAGGACAGCTCTGCCCAGTCTCGGTGCCCTTTCATTTGGCTTCCGATCTTGTTGAAGACAATAGGGACAGACTTGGCCTACACCCAGTGGACCCCGCTTATGGAAAGAGGACCGTTGGAATCTCCTGGGGAGACTGTCAAGAGTAAAGCAGTCAGACAGCCAGTCCTGTGTCGCGTGCTGATGCCGCGGGCTGCTAAAGGGAAATGGGAATGTCACCCTTTGTATGCAGAAGCAAAACCCTGATAGCTCTAACTCTGATTTCCTTTTTCTTGATGTATTTGGGGAACATGTATGATTAGGCATACTGTTGTATTTTTTGACTTAGCAGAGTTTTTTATAGAAATGCAATCCCTGGCAAAGAGGTACGAAAAAGCCAGCCTGTCCTGAAGACTGGGGGCAGCAGGGGCAGTGAGGGGATAGCAAAGGCCTTGTGAAATCCTGTCTGCACACGAGATCTTAACGCAGACGCCCAAGAAACTGAAAAGAGTATATCCCATTTGATCTAAATCTTCCATGGGTAACATTTTATGCAGTTCGAATGAATGAAATATTTTCCTCTTTAATTTTGTGTGTATTCTTCTTTGATGAATGATTGGTTCTGAGGCCTCTGCCACACTCCAGAATTATTTGTGTGGCTGCTTTTAAAAAACTATGGGTCTGATCACTTGTTTCTCTAAAATTATCTCATTGCCTGGCAATCAGTCTTCTCACGTATACTTGTCCTAGCACATTATGTACACAGGAAATGTAAACAGATGTGAAGGAGGACCAGAAAAATTAGTTAATATTAAAAAAATCTATTGTGCGTTTTGGCTTCACATGTTTAACTTTTTTTAAGAAAAAAAAGTTGCATGAATGGAAAAAAAAATCTGTATACAGTATCTGTAAAATTGTCTTACCTGTTTCAATTTCTTGCTCATGCCCCATTCAAACTAGAATTAAATATGGTGCATGGCCATATTCAAACACCTAAGAGTCCAGCAGTTGGTACTTTGGTTTGAAGCACCTCATCCTTTCTTTCCAAGCGAACACTATCATATTGCATTCTTGCTGAGGATTTTGTCCAACCATATGTTGCCATGAATTAACTCTACCACCTCTCTTCTCAAGAATCAAAACCAGTTTGATTTGGGAATCTTCCCCTTTCCAAATGAAATAGAGATGCAGTACTTAACTTTTCTTGGTGTTTGTAGATATTGCCTTGTGTATTTCATTTAAAACCGTAATCTAGTTTGTAAAAGAGATGGTGACGCATGTAAATAAAGCATCCGTGACACTCTGTCTCACTCCAAGAAGTCTTTTGTTCTCCCTTCCCCTTTAACTCCAGATGTGAAAGGGCTGCATTTCTGTCAAGGTCTTCCTGTGGAATGACTTCACAGGCTGGGACAGGCGCAAAGCTGAGAGCTTCTGTCATGAGCTCTCTAAACCGAAAGATCTAGCAAACTTTCCAGCCAACTTGTGAGCTCCACAGACAACCAGACAGTTTAATAAAAGCAGAACAGATCTATGGCCTTGTTCATGGTGGCTGATAGTCACTTTGATATGCATGGTGTCATGTTGCCTGGGAGGGGCTTTTAGGTAGGGAAGTCGGATTTAGACTCTGCCTTCGCTGAGTGTCAGAGATTTTGACCTATCAAAACTTTGGCCCTAATAAGGTCCCCCTCATGGGAGTGCCGTGGATAAACACGGTCATCGACAGAGCCCTCCTGCATATTGAAAATCAGGCACAATATTTCAGGCCTCTGGTGGCAACATCATAAATATTTCCTCTGTGTGTACATTTAGGGCCTCTCAGTCAAGTGAGGAGGAACTCCACCCTATTATAAAACTATCCCTCATAGCCTGGGTGGTTTTTTTCATTTTAATAGATGTAAACATTATTCTGCTTTTAGAAACTCCCCAGTATTGGGTTCAAAGTCCCGAGGAACATGATGGACTCATTTCAGATTAAGTGAGTAAATATTTTAAAGTTTGCCCTTTGGAAAAAAAAAATAATAAAATTTGCCCTTTGAGGTAAATTTTATATTGGTGGAGAGTCATGCTTTCCCTAAGTGTCCTTTCCATGGTTTTAATTACCTATGAAGTTAAAACCTCACCATCTTCTACACCAAAGCCAACTGGGAGAAGGTATTTCATTTGAGATTGCTTCTCAGTTTTGATTTTGTTTCCCAAAAGATTAAAGATGGAAACCTAATACTAGTTATCATAAGATTCTCAGTAGAGTGTTCTTCCAAACCAAGTAAAAATTCAACCAAAAACTAATTAAAGTTAATGATCAACAATTACTAAGTCAACTGTGGCAGTGGGGCCAGACGCTGTGATGAGCACCAGAAGAACCAGGACCTGGGCCCTGCCCCCACGGGTTTATATTCTAGGTGTAAGTGTCTGCTCCACTTTGATGAATAAAGGGCTAA